TTTGATGTATTCCATCTAGTGAAATACATCATTTTTGAAAATTAAGAATTAACTATTTAAATGTTTGCATTACCAATGTCCCATTTCAGAAACTAAATAATGCAAGTAAATAATAAATAATGTTTTGTGTGTACACGGTGCTCAGCATTTATGAGTACACCCCCCACAAATCTCTCATTTAAATCATTATTTTCTAAACGAAGCTTTACAGTTGTAGTGATAATTAGATTTATCAAATATTGAAATCAATATTTAGGTATTGAGATTAATATTGATATTTTAGCCTAACGTGGGGGCACCAATTAATGTAGAAATAACAGATAAATAACTCCTTTTAAACGGGGCACCTGACAGCTTTCCACTGTCAAAATAATTAACAATAAAATATTGTTAGTTAAATTATACAAATGAGGAGTTTATTATCTGGCCAAATCTACATTAATTGGTGCCCCCACGTTAGGTTAAAATATCAATATTAATATCAATACCTAAATATAGATTTTAATATTTGATAAATCCAATTATCACTACACAATATTATATTTGTGCATATACATTGGATTAGTTAGTACTGAAGCCAAATCTGGAGCTAATTTAACTTATGAAAACAGTCCAAATATTAGTAGCTTAAATTTATATGTTAGAGAAAAATATTAAATAAAATTGTCATAAAAAGCAAAAATCAAGAGAAACAAAAAAATATACAATTTAGTTGAAATGTTGTTATTTTTTGCAATATTTTGCATTAATTTAAATATATTATCTTTCTGTTTCTAAAGATGTTTGGTGACTAAAATATTATTTCAATAAATAAATCTGTTTAATAAATCTGTTCCGTTCAAATGCACCACTATATATTACCCATATTTACTGAGAAAAGGAGAAAAATATTCATTTTCAAAATGGGGTTTACTCATGTAGACCATTTTGAGGAATGTAAGCAATAACAGTGGTTCTAATGTATTTCCTGTTTTACATTTTTCATTTCCATTGTATCCGAAAATCCAAAAAGGTTCACATTCTGATAAATAATGTTATGATAGCTGTTTTAACATGAAGATATGATTGAATTGCCTCTTGCTTGTTACAGTTATGAAATACTGTGATAAAAAGCAGGAAATGTTCATGCATCAATGACATTACCACAATGAAATGGTCTATATGCTGAGGCTGAGCACTGTGTATATATATATATATATATATATATATATATGTGTGTGTGTGTATATACATATACATACAATTGAGGTCAGAATTATTAGCACTACTTTGAATTTTTTTTCTTTTTAAATATTTCCAAATTATGTTTAACAGAGCAAGGAAATGTTCAAAGTATGTCTGACAATATTTTTTCTTCTGGAGAGTTTTATTTTGGCTAGAAAAAAAATCTGTTTTTAATTTTTTTAAAAACCATTTTAAGGTCAAAAGTTTTACAAAATTATTAAAACAAGCCATCGTTATACAATAACTTACCTAATTACCCTAACCTGCCTAATTAACCTTGTTAAGGCATTAAATGTCTAGTCAAATATTATTTACTGTCATCATGGCAAAGATAAAATAAATCAGTTATTAAAAATGAGTTATTAAAAACTATTATATTTAGAAATGTGTTGAAAAAATGTCTCAGTTAAACAGAAATTGGGAAATAAATAAACAAGGGGGCTAATTAGGGTGGGCTAATAATTCGGACTTCAACTGTATGTATATATATATATAAATTGTCTATTCTCATCAGTTGATTTATAACTGTTTAAAATGCTGGTTCTTGATACCAGAAATTAGATTAGCACTGGCAATATATATATATTTTTGCTATTAATCATGAAATCATCATCATTTGAAGAAAACAAATTCTTGATATTAAATTCTTGATGTTTAAAGAAAAAAAAATCTATAAACCAGAGAATTTTAAAACAAAATATTCTTGAATTGTTTTTTAGTAGGTCAGCGTCACCATAGGCTGCCATTCAAATTCAATTGCATTATCAGGAATATCAGGAAATTATTTATTATAATGCTCATATGATTATTATTATAGACTAAAAACAATAGCAATGCATATTGACTTTTATTAATTTACAGGATATTCAATCTTGATATCAACAGTTCAGTTTTCACTACTTAAAATTACATAAGTAATTACATTTTTGAAAAAAACATCATCACTCACAGTAGTGTAATATTTTATTTATAACTCATTCATTTGTTTTCTTTTCAGCTTAATCCCTTTATTTTTGGGCCGTCACAGTGGAATGAACCGCCAACTCATCCAGCATATGTTTTATGCAGCGAATGCCCTTCCAGCTGCAACCCATCACCCATCAGTTTCTATGTATTTCCTAAACTGGAGCACCCAGAGGAGACCAACCACACACACTACGGACAATTTAGCTTATCCAATTCACCTATACCCCCTGTCTTTGGACTTGTGGGGAAAACCGGAGCATCCGGAGGAAACCCACACAAACACGGGAAGAACATGCAAATTTCACACTGAAATGCCAACTGAACCAGCCGAGGCTCGAACCAGCGACCTTTTTGCTGTAAGACGACCAATACCCACTGCGCCACCCATAATTCACTTTAATAATCATAATTCACTATTATTTTTTCTATCAATAATTATATTTTCATCAAATCAAATTTAATCACAGGCTGCCATTTAAGTAGTTCATATATTGAAAATGTATATATCAAATCTAAAATTATTGCTATTAGACTTTATATTCGACACGAGTATGCTTACTAGTGCTGTTGTCTGTTTTTATTATCAACCGTTGAAATTATATTAGTAAAAAATGAAATCATTGTTGATATCAGTAATTGCATTGTCACTATAACACTGCTATGCTCAGTAAGTCCTGACAACATGTTATTGAGTTCAGGAATCCACATTTTTAGTAACATGTTTCTTGATAACAAAAATGATATTCAAATTGTTTTTGTACTAGTAAGAAAAATGTCAACAACTGAATTTAAATGGCAGCCTACTGAATTTTGATATCAAGAACGTATCCTACAAATAAATAAAAGTGAAAACAGCTTGCCATATAGCGGCACTTGATTATCTTCCACAGCTTCTGCTTCATTTATTGTGTTACATGCATTTGTCACTTTTCTTTTGCATTGTACCATAAAGCATATGTATTATTATGACCGCCTGCGATATATTACCTCATTAACACTTAGATTATTATGCGTTGTTTTATACTGTTGCCTGTGAAACATTGTTTCTGGATTCTCACAATGATAATAAAGTAATAAAAAGGATTTCTTTGCACTGTTTTCTATGATTTTATGTGTATGCACATAATTTACTGTTTAATTTGACTATGTTTGCCATTATTTAATCAATTCTACACACATCAAGTCATAATGTGCATTGTAATAATATTATGATGTGTGTGTGTGTGTGCATTATGTTCATAGTTTGTACATTTGTTATACAATACTTTATCTCTTTCCATTAAATAAATAGTGATGAAAATATTAATAAAAATACTACTACTAATAATATTCAATTCTACTTTATTTCTATAGCGCTTTTACATTGTAGATTGTGTCAAAGCAGCTTCACATAGAAGATTATAGTAAATTGAAACAGCGTCAGTTCAGTTTTCAGTAATGCAGTTCGGTTCAGTGTGGTTAATAATGGTAACACTTCTCTTAAGTATTAATTCCCAATATTAACTGGTTTATCACCTGCTAATGATTAAGATATTGGCTGTTTGTTTGTACTTATAAATTATGATCTTATTCTACATCCGTAATCATTACTACTTTAATAACTATTAATAAGCAGCAAATCGGGAGTTTATTGAGCTAAAAGTTTGTCAATAGTAAGAACTTTACCTTAAAATAAAGTGTGACCATAACAACAAAAGATGTTATTAATATTTAATAATTTGAATAACTCTCAATAAATGATGAATTCATGTAATCAGCATAATCACCAGGAAGATTATCAGCTAAAATGCGATTGGTTATTCCTATATAATAATAATAATAATAGTAATAATAATAATAAATTTACATCCTCGACAGTCTATCATCACTAATTCAATTGAGCACTAATTCAATATTATTTAGGATCATCATCACTATTAACCGTGAACAACTGTGGAGACTGAAGAGGCGATACCATGTGCATCCAAAGGAGGGCGCTGCTCTCCAAGTTCAAGATCAAAAGCAGTATTTACAATTCATCAGGAATCGACCGGACAAGGGTTTATGTTATAACATTAAAATCACCTAATGCCTCCATCTTAAACCCCCGTCCATTACCATTTTAAATGCACATCGCTTGATGCACTATTTATACGGGGAACAGTCGAGCTGTGTTTCTATTTATTCAGGCTATCGATCACCGTCTCCACATTCTTCACGCAAGAATGCCCATAAAATCAATATAATAGATGTATTGGTTTCAGAGTACAAACAGGAGGGAACTGGACACATACACACACACATACTTAAACGCCAGCAAAAATATTACAAGACAAGACGCGAGAACATCCTGTATATTTATAGTATAAGAAGATTAAAGATCAAAACTAAATCAAAAATCAATATATCAGGTGTTCGTTCACACACACAAACAGGCCCAGAAGGTTGTTCGTTTGACCATGAAAAGCATAAGCCGCGCGTTGGGCTCGCGTTGTGTCCGCGTTCCTCGCGTCACGTCTGATCAGCGTCTCGTAATATCTATCTCTAGCACGAGATAAAAAATCAATAACCGTATAAACTCTCTCCTTGTAGCGGATGAAAACGTATCCAGCGCCCCCCTCCCGAACCACAGGGAGCTCGATTGAAGACGGGAACTCCATCCCGCGTTTTCTGCCTTTTATTCAGGACGCTCTCAATAATTGTTTTCAGTAGCCCTATTCAATATCGCAGGTTCGGTCGATAACTCCGTTCCGCGCGCGCCCGCGACGTTCGATCTGCTCCGCTCCGTGTTTTGCGCGCGCTCCCCCGCCTCTCTTTCTCTCTCTCTCGCTCTCTCTCTCTCTCTCTGAACTCCAGCCCCTCTCGCGCTCTCTCTATCAGCCTTTCATTCCGTCTCAATATGTCTCAAGATGGCGGCCAATGCGGGATCGATGTTTCAATATTGGAAACGCTTTGATTTGCAGCAGCTCCAGGTCAGCTCCCTTTCGCTTTGTACTCGCTGTGTTTGCCGGTAAGCCGGTCCCGGGGAGCGTCGCGCGGAGAGGCTGGCGCGTCGCTCTCGCGTCGGCTCGTTCACCGGGTTCGGTGCCCATTGATTAAAGCGGCTCTCTCGCGCTGATCGGAAATTGATCCTCTTTGTTCAATTCCCATCGATCAACCATCACGGTCAAGGTGGATGCGGCCACTTTGGCAACAAGAGCATGAAGGTTTCCCTATTCTTTCCCGCTCCTTTCCGTCCCCGGGATGTTTTGGGAATAGTTTGTGCCGAAGAGATTTAGATAGTATGTTTGTGGAAATAATTTTGTGTTTAGAAGTGTGTCGCGCTACACGGGTGGCGCTGTGCTGGACCGAGACGTTATTGCTTAGTAACGAGAGAGGTGTTTTTAGTGTGCCTTCCTTTCTACATTTCACTCATTTATTTGGATTTTTTGGTCTGTTAGCACTTTTTGATGTGACTTTATGAAGTTTATGAAGTTAGCAAACGCAGAAGTTCGGCTTCGGTAGTTCAGTTAAAAGTCAAGACGGAATTAGCTGCTAAAACCTGCGCCAGACAGGAACAATTAAACAAAACAATAAACAAACACGAACGTTTTTCGTGTGTGTGTTAAACATAGACGTAAAACATTTTAGTTTTATAAGCGTTATTTCATTATTCCGTTCCTGGGGTGTAATATATAGCTCGTTAAAACGAGTAAGCACAATTTCACAGTGTATTTTTTATTTATTTACCCATAACTTCAACAGAAATGTGCATTTATATGCAGGTGGGAACGGAAAGATTCGCTTCGCCGTGTTTGTTTTGGTTTATTGTTGTTGTTTCTCCAATCGATTAGTTGTCAGAACTCTTCTTTCGTTGTTCGTAATGTTCGTGCTGTTGGTGTATGAAAGTGCATTTGTCGCGTTTGGTTAGGCATAAACAATAGACTCATGATTGTATCAATTATTGATTGAGAGTTTATGTATTTATGAACTGAGGTCTCAGAGCATAGCTTAAAAAATCGCTGTCCTATTTTCCGATCGAACTTCATATTACCTATTACCATTTATACATCTTCATAAACATCAGGAGTCATTAAAAATCAATACACTATTATTTCAAAATCAATATCACTCGATAGTAACAACGATTTTTTAAAGAAATAAACCTAAACTAGATGTGTCAGTGTTATAATTATAGCAAATGATTTCTGTGTTTACATATTTTTGTCAGTAGCCTGTAAAACTAAAGGAAATAACTTCATATGTGCGTGTTGCAATATGTTCTGGGATGCTTTTCAGTTTTGTGTAACATTAATCTGTTATAGTCAAACATTACTGGACTCCATGCATGTCAGATGTTTTTGCCGTTTGATTATGTTGTGTTCTAGGAAAATCATTTATTCAATTAGGGTCTAGACATCAAGTGTTGTACATAAAGGGACCACACACACAGTTGGGCATATACTGATGTGGTGACTCTAAATTTTCAGAACTCGCTCACTCGCCCTCCCTCCCTTCCTCTCTTTCTCCCTCTCTTTCTTTCTCTCTTTCTATCTGTCTCCCAGGCTGATAAGAACTGGCATCATCGAGTTCAGGCTTTGATGATGTCATGGACGCTATTTATCATCATGTTTTACTTTTGTGTTTTGCATTCAGAGCTCCGACATCGCATTCTAGTATGTTTTAAATGTGTTTATTTATGCATCTTGTTTTTTTTCTGATTAACTTCCCTGATTTAGGCTTAATTGATGCCTCGATGTGAATCAGATGTCTCATATTAGCCTGCAGAAACCGCACCAGACGGTGGAAGAAAGTCATTTGAATTATAATTTGACTTTTTTTTTTTTTCTCGGGTCTCATATGTCCAGAACTTTTTGGTTTGTCGGTGTCACCTGCTGCCACCTCATCACCATGTGACCGTGAGGTCTGCGGATGCAGGTGAGGTGTAAGTGTGCCTCACTAGGTGTGTGGTCCCAAGTTTTTCGTGCGTCAACTTAGAGAGATTAGCGATTGACGCAGGCAGTTCTGCCACCATCAAGATGTGAGCCGACTCTCTTGTCTGGACCTGTGTCGGGCCCCTGTGATGACTTTAAAATGTGTTTGATATCTTTAATGAGGGGCACATGGGCCGACTGCGGTACACTGTGTACCAAAACACCAAACGAGTGTAATCTGTTGCATTTTCAGTTCCTCTGCGAGGTTACTGTGGCACTGCTATATCTCTGAGATCTTCTACAGTATGCCTGTGAAGAGGTTCAGCAGGGTAGGATATTACACTCATAATTAGATGAGGCGTCATCCACTTTCCGTATTATAATAGATAACTAACTGATGCCTAAAAATATTTAATGATTTATGAGATAAGTACATGAGTGATGCATGCTGTCTGAATACTTTTTGGGAGATTCATCAAATGCTTTAGCTACTTGTATTCTCATTTGAAGGGATAGTTTAGCCAAAACAATGGACATTGGCCGATCTTTATGGACATAAAACAATATATTCTAAAGAATGTTGGATAAAAGTGGCTTTTCAACATTATTCAAAATATCTTCCTTTGCTTTTCGTACGCAAGAAACTAAAAGTGCTTTGGAAACAGTGTAAGGTAATACCTTTTTAAAATTTGTGTGTGAACTATCCCTTTTGAATTGAGCACCTGTATCTTGGCTTGAGGTTTTCGTAATAACCGTCTTGACTGATACCTGACTGGATTCGAAAGAGCAGGGAAAGTCCCTAAAAAGTGAGCAGGAATGTCGCCACGTGTCTGTGAAAATGCGGGTAAACTACTTTTAGGCATGGTTTTAATGCTGACATGAAAGATGAAGAGAACAACAGCGTCTCTGTGGAGCCCACCCCACACATTCACACAGACTCGGATCCTGACCACTTCAAAACCCAGCCAACTATATACGAGGCCCCAAAACAACACGCATATTTGCATGTGGCCTCTCCAAATTTAGCCTCAAAGTGAAGCGTTTCAATTGACTCTTGTATTTATGTCATTTCGCATATTTTAGACTGATGATCATTTTTTTGTGAGTGTCTCGATGCACTTTTGTGAAAACAAAACATGTTTTCATATTAGTTTCTAAAGGGATGAATTTTAAGCAAATTTAGTGTGAATTGCGTGCATCGTTAGAGAAACGGATGCTCCTGTTCATTACAAAACAAACTAAATTTAAAATGTGTGTTAACTTGGGCTGGCAGATATGATATAAAAATGCAGTCTTAATAATTACTTTCCATATTGAAAGATAGCAATTTAAATTTCGACATAAGTTGTGAATGCTTCCAGATTTAAAAGAGTACCCCAAACAATGACTGAAGCCACCAATTAGAGAGTCCAATAAATGGCATAACCTAAACTCAGTATATCTCTAATATCAACACACTTTTAGATACCCATTGCTGCACATTTCTGCTGTGTGATTGGCTCTTAGATTAATATAGAGTAAAGACATCCAGAGCTTATCATTGTTTTTGACATACATTTTGTCGTGATTCGATATAATATCATTGATCAGCCAAGTCCTATTGTGTTAACATGTTATAAGCCATTAACTAAACCAACTAGTAAAATCGCTAATTGCCAACTTTGATTTGAAGTGAATAATTATATAACCGCATACTATAAGAATACTGTGTTAAAAGAAACTACAATCCCATAAAGCATTTTGATTGACACAGCTGAATAAAAAGTTCCTTGAGAACTAAATATCTACTAAATTAAAGTTATACCTACAGAATATGATTAAAGAAATTAAGTATTTTGTGAGCGCAGAGACGCAGATGTGTTTATATTGCTTTGCTTTATAGTAATACATTAGTTTCCTTTGGCTTAAGGCTGATTTATACTTCTACGTCGAGTGATCGGCGTGACCCACGGCGCCTGCCTTGCGCGTCGTTGTGCATTTATACTTCTGCGTGCTGTTTGTGTTGCTTTGCAATAACTCTTCCGAAACGCTAGCTGGCAGTAGGTTTTTATGTTTCTCTTTGTCGTGTTTGTTTACAGGTTTTTTTTTTTTTCCGGAACGCTACCTAATGTACAAGTAGCTAAAACTCGTTTGTTCAGAAGCGAGAACCAGCGCACGTGCAACAACTGTAATCATAAGGTAAACACAAAACAAATGTTTCCATCTAGAGCTCCTTTTTGAGACTCGACACTTGTAAACACTCACTCCAACGAGTTTGCGTGCTCTCAATCCACCCACACTCGTCACAGCCGACCAATCACAGAGCTTGCACTAGGCATCATTGCCTGATGTAGTTACGTTTTTTAAGGGGTACGCGACCATGCGAAGGCTATGCCGCAGCGTATGTGTGCGCTTGACGCATACGTATAAATCAGCCTTTAGTCCTTTATTTATCAGGGGTCACAACAGCGGAATGAACCACCAACTATTCTGCCATATGTTTTACGCAGGTGATGCCTTTTCACTTTGTAGTAATAGGCAGAGTAAACATCTCTTGGCCTGCTTTGCTAGTTGCTACTCTCTCTGATTGGTGGAATTTTATATAGGCTGCAGCATTGTGGGTAATGTAGTTTTGTTGAGTGGATTCTTCTAATTTGTGATAACCTAACTCAGTGCAAATGGATAGATTCAACAAGAGGATATAGAGGTTAAGGTTTGTTAGTTATTGCTTTTTATATATTTTTTGAAGACATAAAGTTCCCAGTGATGAGTTGCAGCTGGAAGGGCATCCACTGAGTAGAACATATGCTGGATAAGTTGGCAGTTCATCCCGCTGTGGCGACCCCAGATTAATCAAGGGACTAGCCGAAAAGAAACAGAATGAACGAAGACAAAGAATATTATGAAATATATCAGATTCATGTAGGGTGATTTCACATTAGAGTTTCCTTTGCTGTTTGTGATAGGGGATTCATTCTGTTGCCTTGCTTTGCTTATAAAAAAGAAGCTAGCAGTTGCTTGTCACTGAAAACAATAGTTTAGTGATTTCAGATCTAATTCTCGCGCACCTTTGTTCCAGT